TGTATAAAAGAAAAAACTTTTCTTTTTTATTTTAAAAAAATTATGAATATAAAATTTTATATCCATATTTTGCAAAATCATAAACAAGAAATTAATAAACTTTTTGAAAACAATTGATACTTTTAACAAAATAATAATTTCAAGTACAGATATAAATAAAATTGTTAAAACATTTTTAAATGAAAATTTTTCTAAAATTATTGATTGGTCTTTTAATAGTTCATATTTAAATTATATTGAAAATCTTTGGATTATTATTAAAAGAAATGTAAAAATATGATTACCAAGAATATTTTAGAATTAGAACAATTTATGATAGAAGAATATGATAAAATTTTTAAATAATTTTATAGATTCAATAAAAAAGATATATAAATTAATAATTGAAAATAATGGTAAAAAAATTAATTATTAATTATATATTAATAAAATCTCTAGATTTTTAGCTTTATTTTGATATGTTATTTATTTATTTATTTTTTAAATAGGTAAATATCATTTTTTTATTTGATTTGTATATAACAAGATATATATTATGAAAGAAATAACATCTCTCATATATTAATACAATGAGTTAAATATTAACTTGCCTATAGTAATAATATAACTAATATTAAAAAGAAAGTTTAAAACAATATATCTTATAATATGATATTGAGCAGCTATGAATACCTACTCAGTATTAGAGAAAATAGTACTTGATAAAGATGATATTAGATTTTAAATATATTTGGAGGAATTATAATTATATTGGATAAAAGAATTAGTAACTATGGTAAAAAGGTCAATAGTATTTTCATCTTGAATGATATTGAAGTGTAAGTTTTCTGTAAGAATAGTATGGTTTCTTTTTGATCTAATTGGATTGACAGTATTTGATAGTTTGCTTGAATTTCCCTTAATACTAGTGGAAAGTGATATGTTGGCAGTGTTATAGTGTAGTTTCCAAATTGAATTATATAATTGAGTTAAAGATTCTGTTGATGCCTTGATCCAATTGGTAATATCTACTATAGAAAAGATTTTATTGGTTATCCTGTATAACAATTTTATTACTTGTCATATATGAAATATTGGCCTAAAGTTATTGTCTGGATAAAGGATTTAATTAATGTTGTTTATTGTATAATCTGGCAGGCCTCATCTGAAGCTTCAGAACACTTGAAAACATGTTGAATGTTCTTAATATGGAACTCACATCTTGGACAGTATATATTTGGATATTGGTTAGAATAGTATTAATAGAGTATTTGGTAAGTTGAAAGAGTTTTTGAAAGTAGTTTGATTCTAAATACTATTAGATTACTGTGGTTGTTGTATATTTTTTTGATATTATTGTTAGATTGATTAATGACTTTTAACTTATGTAAAGTATAATGTTATTCAAAGGTTTGGAAAATTGAGGAGCTTTCACAGATCATATAGTTTTTAGTAATACTAAAATTTTTTTTGCATTGTCTGATACTACTGCCCAGGCATGGTTTGTTAATCAGAGAATTTTTTGAAAAGTGTGGTAGAAGATTGTTATATTGGATTGTTTTGGCCATATATGGTTTGAATTTTGGTTTGGTATATATAATTTTTATTGATTTTTGTTTTATAACATGACTTATTTTCTGAATTAAAAGAGAAAAGTTAATTTTCACAATTCTTTTAAAATAAGTTGATATTAATTGAAGAATTTTTTTGTTGTTTTTTATTTCAATAGTATTATACAGTGAGTGGTCAAAAGTCACTGAACAGTTCAAATGACAATAGTAAATTTTTTTTTTAAATATATATTATTTTATTAATATATTTAATATTTTAATATTTTGTAGGTCTCTCATATGCCAAAATCATAACTAATACCCATCTCAGTATACTGTCTACCAGTGATTTGATCGTCAATGTAAGAATTTTTTTTCATGCAGATTTGACAAACTTTTCAAGTTCTGTCAAATTATATGATTTATTTTTACAATTTCAAATGCTCTTCTTGATCTCAGCCCAAAGATTTTCTATTGGGTTTAGGTCTGGGCTTTGTGCAGGCTACGAAAGAGAGTAAACAATTTTTTCTTCACAAAATTCTGTAGCCACTTTTGAACAGTGAGGTGACGCATTATTATCTTGAAATCAGTAGTTACTATTGGGAAACATACATCGTAATGTAGACAATGCATACTTATGAAGAATTTCAGTATATGATTTTTCAGTTATAGAACTGCGCAATGGAACTATCAGACCCACTTCTTGTCGTGAAAAGTCCAGTGTATTCAACTTGGACTGTGCTTGACAGTTTTTGCGACGCAATCCAGAAGCTACTCTTCCCCTGGTTTTCTCCAAACACAGCTATTTCAAAGTTGCTGGAACTGTGAAAGTGTTGATTCATCATTTCATAATACTTTGGACCAATTATTTGTCATTCAATTCTTATGTTCTTTATACCATGCTAACCATACTTTGATATTTTTCAGCGAAATCAAAGGTTTGTATTAGGTGATACAACTTTTTAAGCCCACAAGATCAAGAGTGCAATGGACAGTACGTATGGAAAGTATCTGATTAGTTTTTTTTTGCTAAAGAGTTTATATTTTGTTAACTATAAGATGATGATTTTTTTTAGTAACTATTTTCTTGAAATGGTTGCATTGTGATGCCTTTATGAAACAAGGTTGCCTGATTCAACATTTCAGTATAGTAGAATTTGTTTTGATGTGGTGTTTTACAGTATCAAAACTGTAATATAATCATAATCAACTTTTTCAGCTATTTGGGCATAAGAATCACCATGGCTGTGTCCATAAATGATGGCTGCCCTCCATGCTTCCGTTAGTTCTTTTCTCGACATTTTGTGTAGATTGCCTAAAAAAAATAATAAAATAAATATATATATATAAAATAAAGAAAAATATAAATAAATAAATACATAACTATGACTTGTTTATGATACAATTTTGCATAAATTGGAAGTCATAAAACTCTTCAAAAAAATTTTTTTTAAACTGTTTGGTGACTTTTGACTATCCATTGTATATAAAGCTTCACTAAATAATATCAAGTATTGCTAGTAGAGAATTGTCAGGAGCCAGATAGACATTGATAAGTTTAATTTTGCATTTGTTAATAATTAAGTAATTTTTATAGAATTAAATATAATAGTGTTAATGGAAACCAATTTTTTAAAGTGTTAATTAAGAGAAAAAATTGTTATTAACATTAATTGTTTGAAGAATATGTTTGCTTTCATGTGGTATATTGATAATTTCATCAATTATATTTAGTAATCAATATTTAATAGTACTGAATAGATTGAATGATATCCATAATGTTAATGCTATTGAGCTTGTGAATATTATCTAACAAAAGTCATGGGATAATGTGTCAGTCGAATATTTTAGATATTAAAATAAATTGTTACTTGAGTCAATTATAAAATATTTTCCTTTAAGTATTGTTCTTTCTTAAATAAGGGATTGTTTCTTATAGATCTTGACTATCATGTTTGAATCATAAACAAATTCAAATGTTGTCTTAGAATTTAGAATTTAATTGTGCAATCCTATGAGATCTTGTTATTTATAAAAGTTTTAAATCAATTCAGTTCTGGGCTGAGACAAATTATTTCTATATATAAGACAAGTTGATACCATATAAGTTTAATAAGCTGTTAACCTTCAATAGTTGATTAAAAAATTTTAAATTGAAAGCATTTGTTATGTTGATTACTGTTTTCTTGAACTGAGATTGTAGCCTAGCAAAAAGAAAGCTGATTGAATTTTCTATATTGTTATAACAGAACAAACATTCTATTAACATATATGAATTTTAAGATCTTTGACTATTCTTGCTATATAAAGAATCCAATTATCTTGATTAAAAATTTCTGGGTTACATATAGAACAGAACCATATTGTCTCCTTAGTCTGAATCAATCAAATGTCTTGTATTATATATTTCCTAATAAAAGGAATGAAAAGTTTGAATATAAGATTTCTATTAATGCAGTTTTTTTATCTTTCTTCTAATACTAATAAGTTGAGGCTACTGCAGCTGGTAAGAATTCTAACAATTCTTTTCGATGCTGTATTTGATTATCAAATTTATATTAAATTTAATAGATAAGGTATATTCTATTATTATTTTTAATAGTGTTCTAAACCTTATGCAATTCCTTGTAATTCTGTTTGATTCTAATTTTTGAAACCATAGCAGTTGATTAGTATTATATTGAAGCATTTGAAAAAGATTTTGTAAGTAATTTGATAAACTTGTTAATTTTGATTTGGAGTTGATTAAGAGTTAATTTGTTAAGAAATAATGAAAGTAGAAAGTATTCAAGTTTTCTTATAATTACTCTGTTACTAATCTGTTGTTTGATTTCTTTTTTTCAATTATATTTGGATAGCTTATCAACAATTTGAGTTTATATTTAAATAAAGGCTTTTTTATTTGTCTTGAGAAATTTTCTAGAGGAAATTAATATGTTGAGATATTTTATGCTTTCATAAGGTTTGAAAACTTGAATTTGAAAATTATTGAATTTGATTATATCTTGAGTTCCATATTTTATTTTGATATTATTAATGATCTTGGTTTTATCTTTGTTTAAGAATTTTAATAATTCTCTTCAATTTTATATACAGTATATATATACTGTATATATATATATTTTTAATCGTAAAAGGGCATTAGATGCAAAACTTTATTGATATATAGGATTATACTTGAGTTATATCAAACATCTTTACATATAGTATTATATAAATTAATGTTAACCTATCTACGATGCTAGCTATCACTATCCTTGGCACACTTAATGTACTTTAGATTAGTTCTAATGCTGAATGGTTAATGCCCTTCCAGAGCTGATACAAGGGCTTGCGTTTTGAGTAGATTGCTGCTTGGGTCTGTTTGGGGGTTCATTGTTTTAATAATTAATTCTATTAGAGACGACTTCTCCAATAGATTCCATTGTGTAGTGATTCTATTATTGCCTGTTATTATGTGGGATGGTTTTTTCATTTAATTCCTGAAGCTATCGAGATGTTGGCTGTTGCCGATCTTGATATCCAGATTAGTATATAGAGTAATGCTAGAACTTTGTTTGCAAATTTGGCTTGACTTTTTGCTGATAGGTAGAAATCTATTCCTGTCATTCCACTCGCGACTTTATCCAGTCCTAACCTTCTTCCGAGGCTAAGTTTTTGTATTTGGTCATTCATATCATTTGATTTCTTTTTTGGACTGCTTTTGTTCGAAAGCTTCAATAAGCTTTTCTTGAGTTTAGTTTCGATTTCTTTGTAAGCTGGTATACTTTTGTAACACTCAAAGATATGTATCTGGGTCTCTGTTTCATGAGGCATCTGGAGCACAAACTATCTTCGTATGTATTGGGATATCTTTCATGAAGGAGATGTCTGGTAGGAAGTGTTCCACTGATTATTTTTGCCTTGAAGGCTAATAACGAGAAGCAGTTTACCTTGTCCTTTTTAATGAAAAGCTTGTTCACTTTTGTTAACGTTTGGAGATTAGGTACTTTTATACTGATGTTTATATTGGTGAACCAACTGGGAATAGGTCCTTTTGGGTTTGGGCGGAAGTGTATATTGAACTCATGCCAGGACAGTTTGTTGTTTGTTCTGAATATTAGTAAGTCCTCAAGGAACCTTATGTTGCCTCTGTACAAGCCAAGGGCTTGACATCTCAGGTACTTGTTTCTAAAGGAGAAGTGCAGCCCTAGGGATTGCTGTCCTTTGGTATAATTGAATAGACAATTGGCCGGGCATACATTGATTTGATACTTTTTACATGATATTGCTGCTTGCATAATCCATGATTCTGGAAACACTTCTGGATGGCATAATGGACAGAGCCAAATGACATGGCTGATCTGGAGAGAGTTGATCTCTGTTTTTACAGCCTCTTGCGTCTTTGTGTTGCTTAGCTTAGCTACAAGGAGTTTTGCTAGTGTAAGATCTTGTCTGTCTGAAAAGTTTTTGAGATTGAGGCCGGCTTGCGAGTATGCTATTCTGTCTGATATAGTTTTTCCTACTTTCAATCTTCTTTTGATTAGATTGTTTGCTTTGGCCTGAAGATTTTGTACTTGACCTTTGAAGAAGGAGCTTGAAAGGAGAGTATAATCGAGTTTGCTAGGGATAATCCAGTCCAGCACTTGTTTTGTTATTAGGCCGTTTCATCTTTGCTTATGGCATGCTTCTATAATCTGATGCATGCTCTTGATACTGGGTTGGCTAGAGGTGTTTTTATTTGGATTTCCTGCAAAAAAATTGCCTAGGTAATGGAGGGGAGTTTTGCTATTGAGAGGATTAATCACTGAGTCCATTACCTTTAAACCTGTGTTTCTTCGGGTGGGTTTGTTGGCTAATGTAGTAATGAGTTTTGTTTTGTCCGAATTACACTTGATATTGTTCAGGGAAAGGAAGGAGCAGAATGTATCTGTGAGTTCTTGTAAATGTTCTAAGGATTGTGCTGTCAGAAGAATATCGTCCATATATATGAGAATGTTATGTGTAATTGCTTGGTGCTTAGAGTGGCTAGAGATTGCTGAGACCATAGGATCGTAAAAAATAGTCCATAGAAGTGGTAATAAAGTTTCCCCTTGATCTAATCCTTTTATAACTTCCACTTCTCTTGTTTTGCCAAAGTTTGTTGTGACTGAGAGCTTGTGTTTATACAATAGGTTGTGAAAGATATTAACAAGTTTGGTTGAAACTTTGATTCTTCTGAGAGCTGCATCGAGACTATTGAGATTGACTGAGTCAAATGCCTTTGCTATGTCAAAGGAGGCCATCCATAGTTCATTGTTTAGATTTTTTGCAGTGTTCAAGGTTGATACTGCGATTGTTAGCGGTTCCATTGTGCTTTGGTTGGCGAGCCTGGCAAAACTCGCTTTTGAAAGTATATTGTGCTTACATATGATTTTTGATACTCTGGTATTGATTATTTTTGTAAAAACTTTTCTTGTAGACTTGATTAGAGAGATTGGGCGTGTGTCTGCCATTCTTCTTGATCATATGATTTTCTTTGGTAGGAGTACAATTGTAGAGTTTTTCCAGCCTGTGGGGATGGTTTCTTTGTCCAGGACTTGATTGTATAGTTGGAGCAATACTTGTTTTGAAGCTACTCCGAGGATGCTAATCATTTTGTAAGTGATTCCTGTGTTGTCCGGGGTTTTGCCTAGGGGTAGATTCTTGAGTGTATTTGTGAGTTTATTAAGACTAACTGGGCTTTGGCTACTGCTGAACCATTTCTCATTAATTGAGTCAATTGAATTATACTTTGTGGCTCAGTATAGATCAGAGAGGTTTACGTTTTTGTTGGATAAGACATTCTCAAAGTGAGTAATTATTATACTTTTGATCTCTTCTGGGTCATCCGTTAGGGCTCCTTGGTTGTTCTGGATAAAGTTAAGATCTAGTGATGGCTTGAGATTACCCAAGGCTTTTTTGATGAAGCTTTTTGGTTTTTTTCAAAATTTGGTATAGTTGGCAGTGATACTCTTGCTAATTTGTTTGATATGGAGTTCTTTAATATTATTGAGTCTTTTCCTAATTAGAATGTTTCTGATTTGATTGAGTGACTTGATGGAGGTTGGCTCCAATCCAAAAATCTTTTCATGGATTTGTTTTATACGTTTAGAGATTTTTGTTGAGCTTGATTTTTTCTTTCTTGAAATTGTTTTTTTGATTAATTTGATTGTGTTAAAATGTTGTTTTCCTGTTCCACGGGGTCCATGGATATGTCAATTGCTGAGGCTGGACTTGTTGGTCTAATGATACTGCCAGATTTGTTCTGATTGGCGTCAGGGGTAACTGCAGGTTGAAAATCATTGACTTGCATCATGTCATCTGTATCTTGTTGATCGCATACTGATATGTTGCTATTCTGTTCATTCGCATGTATAGGCTGCATATTAGGTGTAACTGTAACACATTGTTGATCATTTGATGGGGGTAAGCTGCCTGTGGTTTTTTGGAGTTGGGGGTTTCAATTGTATGAAGATTGGAATTTTCAGAGTTGTCTAGCATTGTGAGAAAGTTGTCCTCCTGTACTGGGGTATTTGGTGAAGGGTATGTGATTGTTTCTTTTACCCTTTCCAATTGATATGTATTGTTTTCTTTGTTGATAATATTGATTTGATTCCAAGATAGGTGCCATTTGTAGTTGAGGTTGCTGCTAATGACTTTTTGTGCTATTTGTTCCCTGTCGGTTTGTCCAAGTTTGTTATTATCCTGGTAAACAAAAAATTCCTCCAGGTGACAACTGAACTTCTTTTTGGGCTTGCTGGCAGTTGCTATGATAATTGCTTGATGGGTGGCTTTGATAGTTTTTGATATGTTGAATTCGATATAAATGGTTGGAATATTATTTTGTTGTTGTGAGGGATTCTCCTGCACTGGTACTATCCAGTATTTGGGGCATTTGACAAGTGGGGGGATTGAGATATTTTTCCCTGACAGGGAGACAAGGATAGTTCGTAATGTGATTTCCATGTAAACTATAGCAAACAGGAGTTTGCTTGGGTTGATTAGAACGATGTCCAAGAGGGCATGTATTAGGTCTGGAGGTTTTGCCTTGGAGGGGGAGCCCCCAAGGACGTTTTGTTTTCCTTTTCTCAAAATTTTTAAAGATTACCAAAAAAGGAAATTTTTAAGAAATCTGATGCGTTTGAGAAAGAGTTTTTTTTTCTCTTCAATTTTATATTCAATTTTCAAGTTTATATTAAATTTAATAAGTGGGGTACACTCCACTATCATTTTTAATAGTATTTTAAACCTTATATAATTCTTTATGATTCTATTTAATTCCAATTTTTGGAATTATAACTTTGTTACATGTAATGCTATTGGTTATGAAGAATTAGTTAGCTGTTATAAGAAGATCTTCTATTTTTTGTTTGAATTCAACAATAAGTGCCAAGTTATCCATATAGGCTAGAGTGTTGGAAACAGTATATTCTTGAACTGAATGGTGTTGGGCAAGCTTGGTGACAAGAGAATTATAAAAAATGATCCAGGTAATAGATAACAGGATTTCATCTTGTTTTATTCTATTGTTAATAATAAATAATTTGATAAGTCTGAAAGATATGTTAAAGAATATTTCTCTGTTACTAAGGATGTTAATAAGTAGATTAGTGATTTGATCTAGATAACAAATTCTTTTCAGGAATTTTTTTATTGCTGTAGGTACTAAGTTAAATGCCTTTATTATATCTAAAGAGACAAATCAAAACTCTTTGTTTTTAACATTTTCTGCTTGAAGGGCTGAGCCAATAATTGTTAGTAGTTTCATAATATTCTGTTCAGAAAGGCTAGCACAGTTGAATTTGAACAAAATATTGTTTTTTCTAATTATTTTGATTAGTCTTTTGTTGATTATTTCTATAAAAACTTTTTTTGTGAAGTTGATAAGAGAAATGGGTCTAGTTTTATTTAGCTTATAACTCCAGATTAGTTTTTTTAAAATAAGAGTAACAATAGTTTATTTTCATTATTTGGGTATAATAATGGATTGTAGGATATTGTTAAAAATAAATATCATATGAAAAATTGTTTTTTTTTCCATAAGATTAATGATATCATAGCTAATTTTTAACTTTCTTGAAGTTTTATGTCTAAAGAGTCTGTAAATGGCTTCTTTGACAGTGAAGAGCTCAAGAAAATTTATTAATTCTTTATATAATTTCTAATTTATTGACTTGGGTGTATAGGTTTCTTCTCAATTTGAATAATTGTTATGATTGAAATAAAATGTTCTTATAATACTTATTAGTGATTTCTTGGATTAGGTTAGGGTTGTTTTCTAATTTATTATTTGAGTTGTATAGTTTGTGAAGATCGATCTTGGATCTAATTGTATTAAAGACTTTTTTGACATAACTTTTTGATTTACTATAAAAATATTCTACTATGCTTTTTAGGTTTAGCTAATACTCTTTAATAGATTTCTGTTGAAACTAGATTAAAGCTTTCTTGATCAAGAGTTTTTTTAGTTTTTGAAGATCTTTGATGAATATGTTGGAATTGTAATTAGAAATCTTATAAAGAAATAAAAGTTTCTAATTAAGAGAAGATAGGAATAGATAGTTGTTTTTGAGTTGTATTATGGTTTTATTGATTTTTTTGATTTGTTTTTTAAGTTTTCTTTCTACATTAATATAATAATCTTCTTTAACAAAATTGACTTTGGATTTCTTAATGTGTTTGTTAAGAGTGTTGAAGCAAAGTTTTGAAAGTCATATTAGTTGGATGATAATAGAAGAGTAAATCAGAAGTCTAGTTCTTTAGTAAATTCTAGAATACTTTCTTTTTAGGTCTTATTTATATTAAACTTAAATATT